AAGTTTTAAGAATTATGAATTTGATTAAATAAGAATTAAAAATAATTAAGGTAGATGAAAAAAATAATAATAGAAGTATGAGATAAAAATTATTTGATTATTAGATTAACAATTAATAAAATTTATTTTAAAAAAGAAATCGAAAATGCTACCCTATGTATAAAGAAAATCTATATATCTAATAATGAATAATTTATATATATATAATATAAAATGCTACCTTCAAGAATTAAATAGGCACTAAAATTTGTCATTTTTGTTTTAATTATAGAAGAAATCTTTTTTTTTTATGAGAAGAAGAAACTTTATTAAAAAAATAAGAAAATATTATTTTTACATTAAAATGTAATAAACGTATTTATTATTTTAACTTTTCATTTTCTTTCTGTTCTTATCTTATCTTTATCTTTTTAATTATTTTATCATCATTTTCTAAAGGATAAAAATAAAGAATTATAATGTATATTAATTATTAAATGCATGCTAAAAGCTATATATATTTATATGGAGGTAATACTTTATCTTCCACATTAACCTAAAATTAATAATTATTCATTATATAATTTTAATGGCATGGTAATTTTATATTTTAAAATATATTAAATGTATTATAAATAATAATGATAAATATAACTTAAAACTAAATCTAAAACTAATGCAAAGAGTCTATAACATTCTTAATATATATGAGTAACATTAATATGTATTATAAAAAGAAAGAAGATAAAATGATATGTAAAAAATTAGTTAAAATTACTAGTTTTATAAGTTAAGAAGATGGCAAAAGAGTCTAACAAATTAAAATAGATATTTAGTTAAAGGAAAAAATATATTTGATTGATAAAAATAAAACATGTTAGGTAATTGATTTATTAGAAAATGTATAAATGTATTTATTAATGAATTTATCATATTCTTTCTATGTCAAAATAATTGTTTTTTTATTTTTTCTCTAAATTAAGTATTTAAGGACAATTTTAATATTTACCTACAATATCCTTAAAAAAGAAATAAAAGATAAGAAAAGAGTTTTTGTAATTGGATGATTAATTAAAATAAATAGATAGTGATAA